AAGGAAAGGAAAGGAAAGGAAAGGAAAGGAAAGGAAAGGAAAGGAAAGGAAAGGAAAGGAAAGGGAAGGGAAGGGAAGGGAAGGAAAGGAAAGGAAAGGAAAGGAAAGGAAAGGAAAGGAAAGGAAAGGGAAGGAAAGGAAAGGGAAGGGAAAGGTCATGGGGTCTAGCTGCCTTATTATCATCAACACATGTGAACTTACTTTGAAAACAGAATTGGAAAGTTTAACAGATACTTAAGCAACTTTTGTCTTTTAAAAGTTATTTATTTTGCGTGGGGGAGAGGGGAAGAGAGATAGCTTAGCACTTAAAAGCACTTGCTGCTCTTCCAGAGAACTGTTTGGTTCTTAGCACCCACAGTAGGCAGCTTATAACTCAAGCTCTAGGGGATCCAACACCCTTTTCTGACCACCGTGGCTACCCACACACATATGACATTCATATATGCAGACATAAGCACATACTCAAAAATAAAAAATCTTTTTATTTTTTATTAGTTCTTTGGGAATTTTGTACAATTTTTTGATCATATTCCTCTCCTTCCCCCAACTTCTCCCAGATGCATCTCCCTCCCCTACCTGGCCACTTTGTGTCCCCTTTTTTCATCAGGTACAATTTGTGTTGCCCTTATACTCTTGGGTGTGTAGCCTTACTGGAGCTTGGTTGATCCACCAGGGGCAAGACCCTTAAAGAAATTTCCATTTCCTTTTCCCAGCAGCTATCAGTTTTCAGTTGCAACTTAGCTAAGAGTGGAATGGGACTCCATTCCCATCTCCCACAGGTCTTGTACATGCTTTTACAGCCACTATGGTTCATATCTTCAACTGTACTGGTATATCCAGTCAATACTGTTTCCTAGTAGTCATCAACTAACCCTGGATCTCACAAACTCTCTGCCCCTTCTTCTGCAATGATCCCTGAGCCTTGAAAGGAGGAGTTGTAATACAGATGCTCCACTAGGGCTGAACATTGCACAATCTGCTATTGTATGAACCTTGACCAGTCGGGGTCTTTGTGTGATAGTCACAATCTATTGGAAAAATAAATTTCACTGGTGATGGTTGAGAGATGCATTAATCTATGGGTAGAACAATAAGATAATAGGAGACTATTGAATACATCATGTTAATTCAGTTGAGTAGTAGGAATAGGTTTTCCGCTATGTCACATGTCATATATATCCACAAGTTCTTGATTCCAATAGCAGTGCCAAGCATGGGTTTCAACTTGTGAAGTGGACCTTAACTCCAACCAGAAAGTGATTCGTTAGTCCCATGATATTTGTGCCACTCGTGCATTGGAGCTCAGCTGGCGAAGAGTGATGACCCTCCCCCCACCCCATAACACTCCTAGCATCTTCCAGCACTCTGAAAGCTAGCAATTGGGAACGAAGTTTCCAGGCCAGCTTGGTTTGTCCATGCTGTATCTCCCAATTATATACTGTCTTTAGAAGTGGAATTTTTACTGTCAAATTCTAGATGGTATCCAAGAACACTGCAATAACTGTAATGTTATGGGTCTACGTGACCTTAATGACTAGCAATTCCAAAGGAGGTAACCTATTCCTGGCACTGGGTGGGGCATT